CTTTAGTTATCCGAGGGTATCTGGCTTGATCCCAAGAGGCTTCCGTGCCTTATATGGCAGCTCTATGGCACAGAGGAGTCAGGAGTGAAGTTAACCTGGAAAAATTGGGTGAGGTGTGAGAGAAGATGTTTTTTAAATGTTTGTCTTTGTTTCTCACTGCCCAAGTCTATTTTAAATTGCATTAAATTATTTTTTCCCTAAGTCGAGTCTGTTTTGCCTATGATGGTAATTGGCAAGCGACGTCCCCGTCTTTATCTCAACCCATGAGCTTTTTCATCTTATTTCCTTCCCCTGTCCTGTCGTGGAGGGCATGTGATTCAAGGCATAGGTTTATGCTGTATGTTATATTTAAATGGAACATAATATATTCCAAATGGAACATAATATATTCCACCAGTGGTCAATCCAGGGAATGTAAGAGCATGCCACAACTAGTAACCAATATTGCTAGGACTGTATTTTAAGTGGTAGAAGCTCCTTGGTTGCTGCTGTAGTTCAACCTCAGCACTGCTGATGCCCTTATCACTTTAAAAGATTTAGGCATATAAATAAATAGATTTCATACTTTCTTACTGTTGCTATTCTTGCCTTCTTCCTCCACTGATGTTATCATCATGTGAGGTTTACTTTAAATAGTATATCTCCAAAAGCCCTTGTCACTTTACTGCCTATTATGTGCCAGTCCTACACCTGTGCTGCTATATAAATGCTAATAATACATTAATATGCTCATTCTTTCTAAGTTCTGTAGGTGGAATTCCATCTGGTTTGTATATGTCAAGTGAGATGATAGTGTGAAAAGTCCTTGCTGTTCGGAATTTGTGATGGCTTATGAGCAGTTGGGAAATGACAGAAAAAAAGATCACAGAACTGGACATGCCTATCATGTGAACAAAGAGATCCAGACATACGCTTAAGACAGCAGCTCGGACTGGTGCAGAATACCCAAGTGGTGTAATTCTTCTCTAATCTCCGAAAAACCTTAGTGAAGTAATTAGGACATTAACCAGCCTTTTCAGTTGTTTCTTAATATTTTCATCTCAACCTCATCTATTTAAGACAGTTTTGATACTTGGAGCACTGGCATTTCTTTGACAAGATGTATCCACTGTGGACTCTTTTGGGAGAGAGTGGCAAGAACTCAGAGCATGTCCAGCCTCCCAGAAAATCTTTCCTCCTTCAGCCAGATAACTGGTCTCGGATAGGCAGGTCCTCAGTTCCAGAAAGATCTGTCTTGGCTTCCGCATACCCGTGCAGGAACTCACCAGCAGGGAGTGATATGCAGGGCCAGGGTAAATTTGTACAAAATACGATGGTTCTATGATTCTGTGAAAGTATCTTGATTATTCCCTGGGCTGAAGTTGTGTCCTTTCCCATGAGATATGGATGGATTTGGCTGAATTTGACTAGGAAAACTTTATCCTAAGAACTTTGTAATCCAAAGTGTAAAAAGCTAGAGAATATAGGAAATAATTTTGCAACTTTTCCAAGTTGCAAATTGGATGACGTCTGAAAGTGTCCCCATTGGCTAATCTAAATTGTATTCTGAGCTGCTCTAAGTATTCATCGCTTGCCAAGGATTCATGTAACCACGGATTACAAAGGGGAGAAATTCAGTGCTTCCTTGGTAAAGAGAAAACAAGTTTTCCCTTCCTGCATTTAATCTCTTGGTCACTTCCACTGGAACAAATACTGATTGTGATTAAGCCTAAACCAGGAACTTTCGAAACCAGAAATAATTAATAGAAATTAGCCTTTAAAATAGTACTCACTCATTGCTAGCTGCACAGTCTAGATGCTTGTTGCAGAGATACACACACAGCTACACACAAGCTGTCTTGTGGGGTGAGACTTAGGAATGGAACTTTTATCGTGCACAGAAAACCGTATCATCATCATCATCCAGGTTTTAAGGCTGGTTAGGAAGCAGGAGAGCTGAGAATCACAGAAGCTGGGACAGCCCTGGGGCTGAGGGCGGGAGGAGGAGGAGAGGGAGGAGGAGGAAGGCAGCTGCTTGCCGGCTCTCCTCGCAGCCTGCAGCGCTGCCGGCCAGCAGTGCCCCTATGGCCAGGAGCAAGGCCACCCTCCGCACATGGCTGGGCTGCCCTGGGCTGCTGGGCTGTTTCTTGCTGGGCTTTCTTGCAGGTGAGTACAGAGCCACCGGGGCTCAGCCTGCAGACTTTGCCCTGTGCAGATACTTACAGGCAACTCCTGTTGTGATTCACTCCCCATCGGGGAGCTTTCATTGCCTTTTAGGGACGTTATAAAATACCCGTCCCGCTGCTGTTTTCTAAGAGATTGTTCTCTCTAGCAGTTTTGGTCTTCAGGGAGGGAGGAATACAATGGCTGCACGCTTCAGCCCGAGAGGAGCCCTGGTGAACTGACAGCCTCCTGCAACGGGCAGTCAGACCTTCAAAGAGGAGAGATTAATATAAGAGTTTGAGACTTCTGTGCTTCCAAAACGTCCAAGATTATTTTTTTTTATTTGTATTTCCTGATTTTTTCTGAGGATCTATTTAAATGCTCCTATTCAGTTGCTATTTTAGAAATTAAGGGCAGAATGTAGAGGAGGAGTTTTGACTGACAGCCAAGAGTGCAGTTGCTGAATTTTCCATCATGTACAATGAACTTCACTAGAACATTAGATCCTTTTTCTGCAATTGCTTGCAGCATTTGATTCTAAGTCTAAAATGGCATGTCTGCATCTGTCCTTTTTAAACTTGTGTTGTCGCACACACCCGAGGCTAAAGCATGAAGGAAAAATCTATGAGGGCTGTTAAATATAAAAAAAAAAAAAAAATCATTAGGTTGATTTAGGAGATCCCTGAGCTGCAAATTTCTGGTGCTTGTGCTATTATACATTTCCCTGAACATCATCTTTTGGCCATGCTCCAAAGCAGGATACTGGGAAAGATGGACCTTTGGTTTGATCCAGTACCACTGTTGTGTTCAGGGTGTTACTGCAATTGCATTTAAACCTAACAGCTCATGTGCGCATGTGACAGCACATATACTTGGCTTTATTATCTCAATTTTCCCAGTTTGGGATTTTCTAGCTATTATAGTAAAAGCTTTTGTGGTTTGGTTTTTTTTTTTAAGACAAATTCATGTAGTTGATATACTCTCCCTTTCAGGTTTATGGCAACTGTGAAATCTTTAACTTTTTAAAACTGACTAGGGTGACAGTTAACTTTATTCCTTTAATTATTAAATAGACTAACCCTACCCTTCCCCAAATCTGTAACTATTATAATGCTGGCAGGGTGGCTGTTGAGTCCTAGACCTTCACATTAAATATGCTTATGCACATCTTTTAAAATATATAAATTAAATAAGAGAAGTTCATCACAAATATCAGTTCAATCCTCCCACTGCAAACAGTTAATTGAGAATTTAAACTATAGTTTAAATTTAATGATAGATGAATCTACCTTTAAAAGGGGACTGTATTTAATCCCTAAAAGGTATTTAGGGTGTTGTGCTCTTCTAATTATATCACTTTTATGTCAATTCATTTGACAAAGTGTATTTTACTTTTCTGTTTCACTTCTGTGTTTGAGCCAGCAAACACTGACAGAGGGTGCTCTAAGCCCTGTTCATCCTCATGGTTTTAATGAGACTGTTCAGCACTTTAGGTTGCACGTGGGCTCAAATCTGTGAGGGCTGTGTTCTTGCTATGTAGGAAGCTTTTTGAATGTGTTTCAGGATGGCTTACAAAACCGACTGAAAAAAACCCCAACTCTTCAGATGCTGATCAAAATGTGAGACAGAAACTTGTGGCTGAAATGAAAGCAGAAAACATCAAGCAATTCCTTCGGTAAGCCCTGTGTGTCTTGGTTTTTAAATAATACTATCAGTCACAAAAGCCAAAAGTGATAACATCAGCTCCAAGGAGCAGCCTCTGAAAGCAGAGCTGTTACGATGCTTTGGAAGTATTTGGTTTGTACAGAATGTCTGGAGGAAGGAAAAGGGAGAGACTCACAATGCTTCTGTTCCCCCTCCCCATTTTTGAAGTTACTTTTTTGGAGCAGTTGTACTGTTAAGTGTATTTCCCTCAAGCTGCCTTACTGCCAGTGCTTATCATGCTTTTTTATTATGGTTTTCCATAGCCTTGAGTTAATGCAATACAAGTGTCTGGTTTTTCCTCATGAGTGTTTGAAGCTCTAACACCAGATAACTTTGCTTTGTCTCAGACTGAGATGATTTTACTGTATTTAGGATCATAGCATCATAGAATCATAGAATGTTTTGGGTTGGAAGGCACCCCTAGAGGCCATCTAGTCCAACCCCCTGCAGTGAGCAGGGACACCCCTAATTCGATCAGGTTGCTCAGAGCCCCGTCCAACCTGGCCTTGAATGTTTCCAGGGATGGGGCCTCCACTACCTCTCTGGGCAACCCCTGCTAGTGTTTCACCACTCGCATTGTAAAGAATTTCTTCCTTATATCCAGCCTAAACCTACCCTGCTTCAGTTTAAAACCATTACCCCTTGTCTTGTCACAGCTGGCCCTACTAAAAAGATTTTCCCCATCTTTCCTATAGGCCCCCTTTAGGTACTGAAAGGCCGCAGTCAGGTCTCCCCGCAGCCTTCTCTTCTCCAGGCTGAACAAGCCCAACTCTCTCAGCCTGCCCTCATGCACTGCTGTTAATTACATTTGATTGATAATCTGTCCAGTGTCTCCTTAAACTTTCAGTTTAAGCAGCTAGTCACAGTAGGAAATGAATACATATTAAAATGTAGCATTAAAAATGATAGAGTTTACGTGGCACTGGGCTGTGTGTATAGTTGCAACCGGTAATTCCTTCAGTGTGGCCATACTGGATACCATGCTGTTAACTGGGTGCTCGAGATCCCATCACGCCCTGTCTCCTGCTTGAGAAGGTGAAGGGCCCTGTCCAAGTGCAGGGTGTGTGTAAGGTTGGGTGTGTGTAAGGTTGGTTATGCCTTGCATGGTGTATTTGTTATTAAATATGTTTTTTGCATCCTAGTGCATCCATGCAGTTCTTTCAAAACATCTAAAAAGCTAGGGATATAGAAATACCCTCTTTTTTTTTTTTTGCTATGTATTTAACTAGAAATGAAAAAAAAAATAATAATTCTTGTGCATATTTATATCTTCTACAGAGGAACAAATAAATTCACACAAAAAGTAAACGAATATAACCTCTGGTTAGTAACATGTTGGTATTCAGCATGTAACTGAGCAGCTGCATCACAAACATCAAAGGATTACTGGCAAATTTGATTTCTGTACATTGATTCTAAAACCAAAAGGTTTCATAACATTAATTAGCTTTTTAAGTCTCTAGGCCTTATCTTATTTTGTATTTGTTTCTCTCAGTAGCTTGGAGAGTTCCTGAAGATTATGTTTGAGTGAGAGCCCAGGCAATATCGAGATTGATGACAGCGTGAAATAGCTCTGCAATTATGCTAAAGTTTCTTGGCCATAGGGTATTAATAGTGTCTGGTTTGTCTTCTTGCTTTGATAATGGGCCAAATGCTTCATACTGTTGTTTTTTTTCCTAAATTCAAATAAAAAGCAGGAACTGCAGAAAAATTATATTAATACACTATCCAAAAAGTTTGTTAAAAGCATAAAAAAACGTGAACTTGAGAATTTTGGTCCATATTCTTAGTTTTTTAAAGCACTAAATCTGCTTTTGTCAAATGGGGAAAACAAACTGTGAGCCTCAGAAAATGCAATAATAAAAAAAAAAATCACTACTGTTCAGGGTGATTGTCTTCTCTAAGGAAAAGCCTGGCTATGTATATCAGTGGCTGTAACGTCCTTGACTTTAACAAGGCTTTGGACACCGTCTCCTGCAGCATTCTCTTTTGGAAGCTGAGGAAGCACATACTGAAGAACAAGGTGTTACACGAGTTGAAAATAGGCTGAACTGACAAGCTGAAGTGGTACTAATCATGATATTTGGTATCACTAATTAATTGTAATTCAATGGTATCTGACATCCGTGGGGCAGCCATTAACAAGTAGACTGTTGGGAATCCAAGACTGGTGCTTAGGACCCGGCAGACACATCAGCATTCACCATAACTCATTTGTTCAGTGGGCCAAGCAAATTCTGGACCGATTTGTGTAGGGTAGACCAGAGGGGCTGGATATCATTTCTGACTATTTATCACCATTAAATGTTATACCTGATCTGGATGTACATGTAGTTAAGAAGGCTTTTATTAATCAGGCTTTTGATTAAGAAAAAAAGAACAAATCTGTGCACATAATTTGACATCATGATTTTCAAGTTAAACTTATTAGTACATGTAATGCCAACAATGTACAAACCCGTCATCAGATACCAGAATTATTTGGAGGGCTCCTTTCTGAATGTGTAGCTTTTCTGGATCTATTTCTGCCCCTTGCATACTGTTCATATGCTTTTGCTGAATGTCTTTGGCACTGATTTTCATTGCTTGTGTGTAGAAGTGGCTATTTCTGTTTGCAAAGAGAAAGGTTCAGCTGACTTCTCTTAAGGCCTCAGGAAAGATCCTCTGCTCTGACTACATTTCATGCTTATGCTGATGCAAACTGATAAACAATCATGTTATATGGCTCAGACTTTAACTGTAAGACCTTACTTTCCATGCACGTGGCTTAAAGATAAGCTTTATACACACTGATCCAAGTTCACTATTGTGCTTTGCTGCATTTGCTGCTTACCAGCAATTTTCTGTTTTGTTCTAGCTCATTTACCAAGTTGCCTCACCTCGCAGGAACTGAACAGAATCTTCTTCTTGCCAAACAAATTCAAAGCCAGTGGAAGGAATTTGGACTGGATTCAGCAGAACTTGTTCATTATGATGTGCTGCTTTCGTACCCAAATGAAAAGCAGCCAAACTACATCTCAGTAATTGATGATCAAGGGAATGAGGTGATCTTTTTAATGATTAAACTATATTTATGTAAGACTTCTTTAAAGAAACAGTGTCTTCCTCTGTTTTCCCACCCACTCATCCCAGCATGTGCTTTATAATACAATAAAAAATCCAGTGCAAAGGGGAGTCATATTTAGAAATGGTTTTCCAGGCTGTGCAGCAGAACAGAGCAGAGTGGCTGAAATCTCAGTGCCTCATACAGTAGAGGAAGCATGTGTGGGAGATACTGTGATTGGACTGGATGATCTCCCAAGGTGCCTTCCAACCCTTGCCATCCTGTGATTCTGTGATTCTGTAAGGTGTAAGAACGGCCATACTGGTTCAGATTAAGGATGCATGTAGGCCAATACCCTGTTTCTGTAATCAGCCTCAAGTGGATGCACAGGGAAGTTTGAAAACAAAGAATTGTGTGTAAGGCACGCAATTCTTCCAGTGCCTAGCTGTTTTCAGCTCAGGGGTTCTCTGAACATGATGCAAGTAGTCTCTTTAAGAATCCTCATTAGACCTCTTTTCCAAGATAGTAACCCTTGTTAGATCTCTCTTCCAAGTAGCTATCTAAACTGTGCTTGAACATCTGTACAATTTTTGCTTCCACAACATGCTGAGGTAAGGAATCCCACACAGACCCTATCCATTGCATCAAGTGCTGCCTTGTTGCATTCACTCTGAACCTGATCCTACTTCCTACGGGAGTCTCCTAAGTTAGTGTTGGAAGTAATAATGAACTGTCAATCTATAGTCACCTTCTTCACTTTGTGCACCCAGGAGAATTCAAGAAGTAGGTGCAAAATATGGCAAGGAGCAAGGAGAGGAGATGGGACTGCTAGAGAAGCATCATAGCACAGGGGTAGGGATGAAGAGCCCTGGTAGAAACTGAGGAATGTGTGCTTGGGGGAGCTTAGAGGTGAAAGAATAGAGACATTCTTCCAGAAACTCCCTCACCCGGTCTCTCAGCTATAATCTCACAAGGTGACAAAGAGTGGACATGAACATTGAGGCAACATGAGAGTTACAATAGATAGTGATGAAAGGCAGCGTGTTTAACTGGAGCGTAACTAGCAAAGAGGTGAAGAGAGGAGCAGTAATACAGGTGGGAGTAATCACAAAAAATGCCTGGGATGGCATGGACGAACTAGGTGTCTTTTTATTGTCATCACCTCTTGGCAATTTTCAGCTCTTCTTTGCTTAAGTTCAGGCAGTGACTGATGAGCATCTTCCGACAAGTGATCTGTCTCTCTGTACTCATATCTGCATTCTGTTACAAAAAATAAGCTTTGTATCCCTAGCTGGTTTTTCATTTGAATTTATACATGATAGTCAGAATTGTATTTTTTTGCTAACAATTTCTGGAAACTAGCATATAATTTGCAATAGCTGAGTAAATTTTTGCCTGGAGGTAGAATGTTTGACTGAAGACTTCTGTTATCTATTGATAGATTTTCAATACATCATTGTTTGAACCACGTCCACAGGGGTACGAAAACGTTACTGATATACTACCACCATATAATGCTTTTTCAGCACAAGGAGTACCAGAGGTAAGAAAAAAAAAGAGTAAAAGTATTATTAGCTGAAGTCATACTTTGTGACACACTTGATGGGATAGATTGCTGCAACTTCATAAAATATTTCTTGCAGTAGTTTTAATTAACTGCTAGCATAAGAGAACATGTAAGGACACATAGGCCACATATTGTGTGAAGGTTAGAAGTTGTCGGTTAGAAAAAGTGTTCTCTCAAATTGCTAGAAACCTGGATCACATAATAAGTGAAAAGCTTTTATCTTTCTGGAGAATGTTAGGTGCTTCTCAGAGTGCTCCACATTACTCGATCACATGGAGAGGCCTTGCTTAAGTGTTAAGTAGAAGTAGCAATATATAAATCAAGTTGGAAGATGTTTTGGATTAAGCAAATTCTCTTCAAAGGCAACAAAGGTCCCTCACTTAATCTGATAATTCATCATGGAGGAGCAAGTCAGGGACATCATTGCATTGCATAGATGGATGAAATTATATCATAGTGGGTTTGTATGCAAGGGATACCACTGTTTTTTCACTGCCACAGATGTTTGTCAGTTTAGCAAAGTACATTGGTTCATTTTCCAACCTGTTTATAGGGCTGCTGTTAAGTGCAGCATAATACAGAAAGGTCAGCAGGTTGAGCCAAAGCTTCCTATAGAATGTTATGGAAATCCTTTGCTATTGTTTTTATGGGCACTGGATCTAATTTGTAGAAACGCAAAAAAATAACGATATCATACATAGTGAATAAAACTGGGTATTTCTGAAAACAGATATTTTGTTTATTGAGTGACCAGTTGCCATGAAACTGCTTTTCTTTTCTGTGCAGGCAGATCTCGTATATGTGAATTATGGCCGCACCGAAGATTATTTTAAACTGGAGCGTGAAATGGGAATTAACTGTACAGGAAAGATTGTCATTGCCAGATATGGGAAGATCTTCAGAGGAAACAAAGTAAGGGTAGTGTTTTATTTTTTCCTCTGTGGGTCAGACACTGCTCATGGTAGAGCCGGTGGGAGTTAATGAGGGCTGTAAGTTGGAACATATGAGCAGAAGGAAGCCTGCAATGTATCCATTGTGACTGTATTCTAAGAATAGCTTCCAAAACAATAAAAACAGATGAATGTATTAATCTCCTGGGACGGAGATGACTGCAGACTCCTTCGGCAGTTCTGGCAAAAGATTAGTATAGGGAACAGGATAGTCTGTAGAGCCAAGGCTTTTAATACTTTTCCTCCATAGAACTGCCGTATTTTGAAGAAGTGTTTGACAAGGAATTTGATGCACAGAGACTGAATAACTAACTCTTCTGACTCTGGACAGCAACTCTGGCAAAACTGGTGACAATGGGACAGTGGGAATAGCAGTCAGTTTTGGTGCCTCGATTTTATGTCCTGTGCTTTATTTCACAGCCTTGAGCTACGACTAAAGGTATGATACAAATAACGAACATACTGCGTTCCACTGTGGCTTGCTCTTCTGCTGAGTCCGTGGTCATTTTCACTCTTCCACATATACAACTTCTAAAGCTATGTCCCCATGGAAGTAAATTGCAATATTCAGATTTATTACTGCATTAAAAAAAAAAAAAGGCATTTCTTAAAAGCAAATAATTTCACAGGTTAAAAATGCCATATTAGCAGGAGCCCAAGGGATCATACTTTATTCAGACCCTGCTGACTACTGCGCCCCAGGAGTAGCTCCATATCCAAATGGCTGGAACCTGCCAGGGGGAGGAGTCCAGCGTGGGAATGCGTTAAACCTGAATGGAGCTGGGGACCCTCTAACACCAGGTTATCCTGCAAAAGGTGAGTGAAAATCTGTAGCCTGGATCATCAAGTACTTTATAGATTGGTGCTGAAAGTTATTGTGGTGCTAGAAATTAATCTATTTTTGGTACAGATGCAAAGAAAAAAGCTGCTTAAAATTATTTTTAGCAGGAGTTAACTAAGTTCTACCTGTATGTCATTTCAAGTGGTTGCTTTTGAGTTAGGCAGGGAAAATACATTTTTAGGAAAATCTCTTTGTATGATTCCAGCCTCGTAACCCTTAGAAAAGCAGGACATGTAGGTTTACAGACTGTGAAGCAGTAGAAAATGGCTGAGAATTTACAGCCATTTTTAAATATCTGTATTTCTCAAGAGGACCAGTTTAAACTTGATTATAGTCTACCATTAAAGAGGAGTAATAGCTTTGCTTGAAGGTATGTTTCCTTGTTGATCCTGAATTCCAAGAAGAAAAACAGTTTAAAATCCTCTTTTCAGGGAGTAAAGTTTCTGTACGAAAAATAACAGTAGCCTGGAGTCTTTTGAAACTTGGCACCATGGTGCTTGTCTTGTCCTTGTAGGCATCCTGAACTCTGAATTAAGGTGCCTACCAGTCCTGTCTGCCAATGGGATGGGAACACAGGGGTGCTTCTGGAAAGCTCACTGGCTTGTGTGCTCATTGTTGTGGGCATAAAACACCACCATACTGAAAAACCAGGATAGACTGTGTGTGCCTGGCTCACCAGATTCAGAGAGACATTGACTGTCTTCAACATAGGTAAATGCATCTGTGGATGTCTTCTGCAGCTTGTCAACAGGCTGAACGTGGGCTGTCTGCACTTCACACACCAGCTTGGTTGCCCTACAGTCAGCTTTGAGGAGATGTAATAATATTCATGGACAGCAAATCTAACCTTGCTTTAAGTGTGGGAGCTTCTCTTACACAGTTGTGCAGATGTGCTATTGGGTTTGTGGTTCTGTCATTACATTTTGGTTTCCTAGAAGCAATATCTAATAAATGATGTAGGAGTTAAAAAAATGGTGTATGTATGTGGCTACTGTGTGGCTGCACTGTTCAGAAGTATTTCCAGTTTGATGAAAGTTGCTAAGAACACTATAAACTTGACATTTTTTTTCTGGTTTCTCAGAGTACACTTTCAGGTATAAAGTTAATGAAGGTGTAGGGATTCCCAAGATCCCAGTTCATCCCATTGGATATCATGATGCAGAAGTATTATTACAGTGAGTATACATCAGTCCTCCTCACCAGAAGTCAGTATTCATAAAGGTACAGCAAATTTTTTTATACTAAGATGGTAAAATCTATGCTGTTACTTGTATTTATTGCTCTTTTGTAGTAGTGTGTGTGCTTCAGAAAATGTGGAAAATTCAAAGCAATCTATATCTGGAATAATGTTTTTAAGAATTTTGTAAACCCACCTTGGTTTAGGTGCACTAATTATTAAGGGAATTTAAGGTTTTAGCCTACTGGTCAACTACATTTGTCTTGGTTTTGACTTAACAGTTCAATGGGAGGACCTGCAGCCCCAGACAGCAGCTGGAAGGGAAGTCTCAATGTGTCTTATAACATAGGGCCAGGATTTGCAGACAACTCTTCTACAAGGTCTGTTTTAACACTTGCCTATTTATAAATTATTGCCAAAAAAATCTCAACAGGAAAAAGACTGTGAAACAATACATCTAGAGATATTCTGGAGAAATTTACTTGGTTCTGAGTGGGCATCACTTGGTCATAATTATTAGAATTTGAAAATAAAATAGCAAAACTATGGTTTTCCTCAGTGTCCCCAGTGTCAATGGATAGACAGATTCAGAGGGTATAGGTCCAGCCCTGTGGTTCCAACTTTAATACTTACTTTAAGGTTCAGACATTATTTCACTGGTCCTTTTAAAAAATGGCTATATAGCACTAAGTAGACATTTTTTAATACTGTTGGATTGACCCTAAACTTAAACCCTAAGCTAAATTCCAAGTTTGGTCTTTCTTTTCTGTTTTTGGTGACCAGGGGGACAATAGGACAGCCAGCTTGTACCAGTCCAATGGGGAAGGACTGACAATTCGGTAGCTGTCTTCTCCTTACATTTTTCTTGTCCATTGGAAGCCTCCCAAGGTTTCTGTGAACTTAGATCTGTGAACTGTGGCAATGATTTGGGAGTCCATTAACTGTTCCCCAAAGCTGGTAGGCCCCATGGTTGTAAGCCCTGAACCCAGAACAGAAAAGCCCAAAGCACATATATCTTACAATTTGTTTGGGAGGAGCTGGCCTTTGACCACTTGGATTAGCAATACGATGTTTGCGGTTTACAGGTTTTTTTCAGCTCTAACAGAGAAATAGGTCTAGGTCTCCAGCACTAACAGAGCTGCTCTCTAGCAGACGAAGCCACAGAACTGTTGCATTTGGTGATCAGGGATTTGACTGGCTGTCAGGGACTGTCACAGCAGTCTTCCTTGCTTATAAATGATAAGCTGCAATAGTTAAAGCTAAGATCACTTTTCTATCACTTTTTCACATAAAAATACTTTCAGTTTCTATCAGGACTGGTAGCGGACCACAGTGAACCAAAAATGTTGTATCATTATGACTGCTCCACCTCCTACAAAACAAGAGTATGTCTGAATGTATAATTTTATAAAGACCTCATTTGTCATGATTCTTTTCTTCTCTGCTTTAACACTAGCTGAAAAGTGGGAAAAAATAAACAAGAAAGCATATTTGACATTATTAAGGTGCTGTTTGGAATGTCTTGAAGAGCAGCAATGAGAAAAGAAACAATATGATTCATGCACAAAACACATACATAGGAAATATTTTTGAGTGCACTTTTTAACATCTTCCTACTTGATAGGGTAACAGTTTTTGTAAATATGGGCTAATCCTACACATACTTCTTTCTCAGAGAAACTCCATATCAAAAATGAACCTTTTGAGCCTACCTAGAAAGTCCTTTGCATGTGGATAGTGTGCAAGTATATTCATGCTCAAGGCACTGGTGTCAGTTATTTCCTGGGCAAAGATCCAGTAGCTGTCCTGAAGTAGGTTTTGATTTTGACATTTGTGCAGATTTGCTGCTGAAAAGATAACTTCAAATGCGAAACTCTGGAGTTTTGCCAGACACAAAAAAAAGCATTGTTTGATGCTTTGTTTCTTCTACAAGTTAAGAGGAGCTGAATACTACATTATTTTGAGCTCTCCTAACACCTGAATTTCCTTCCTTTTGATTTATTTATTCCTGGAGGCGTATTTCTAATGACCTTCTCTCCAAGTTCTATCATGACACACAATTGTGGTACAAAACCAAAGTGTATTTTTAGTAAAATATGTATATCTGTAATTATCATTTTGGCCAAAATATAAATGTATTTTTAATTACTGTATGTGCTTTTCAATTTACTCCTCTAATACACAATTATCCGATTGACTCCCATAAATAACAATTTAATGAATTCTGTAAATGTCTGAAAGTTTATAATTGGCCCACTTCATAGGGTTGTTTCTAAGGCATCTTTCTTCCAGCAGGTTAATCTGAAATAAAAAATGGGACACTGATACAGCATGACAGGTTAGACCAGTGCTGAACACACAAAGCAGAACAGCAGCACAAACCTTCTGGCTTACACGCTATTCTGTTGAATTTTTATTTCCTCCTCAGTCAGAAATGGTTACTCCCTACTGCTTTTTCATTTCAGAAAAGTCAGAATGCATGTTCATACAAACAATAAAATAACACGAATTTACAATGTCATTGGAATCCTCAGAGGAGCTGTGGAACCAGGTGAGCATTGGCTGTGTGAGGATTTTAGTTCCTTCTTTATCTTGTGTTTGGTGAAATTGTTCTTACGTTGCAAGAAACTTCAAGTTTTTTAGATAGCCAGATAATAGGGAGTCTGAGGAACCCTGTTCTCCTGTCCCTCCCAGCACACAGTTTTTCATTGGCATTCCCAAGAATATATTTGAATGAAAAAGTTAGAATGATAGATGTCAAAGAATTTTTTTATAATGCCTGTCATTTTACAGTAGGTTGCCCCTTACATTATTTGTACATTTTTCCTTTGCAAAAATTAACACAATGCAAAGTACAGAAAAGTAGTAATGATTTGGGACCTCTACATACTGTTGTTCATACCTTAGTAGCAGGCCAAATACATGAGAGACTTTTAAGTAGAAAAATAGGTATAAAATATTTCTTGTCTTCATTTATATACTTCAGTAGAGAAAGTGAATGATTGCAGATTACCTTAACACAAAAAAAATTATAGAACCGGTATTAAACTTCATATTTTGTTTGACACAAGTAGTGATGCAATCAAAGGAAATACAGGTAACCAAAATGCATTTTTAATTAAAGTTTGATATTATGTGTTTGTTTCCAGACAGATATATTATTTTAGGAGGTCATAGAGACTCTTGGGTATTTGGTGGTATCGATCCGACTACGGGTGCAGCTGTTCTGCAAGAGGTTGTACGGAGTTTTGGTAAAATGAAGATGGAAGGTAACTTACTTATTACAGGCATAAAATGAGGGATAGGGAAAACAGCAGCTTTGAGGAACTGTGTTCAATGTTCCGATAAGCAGTTGTGTTGATTTCACTTTTCACCTCTACAGAAAGCTGTATTTCTGATTATGAAAAAGGCAAATACATTGAAGAGATGCATATATAGCATTGCATCCTAGTTGGCTGAATTTTTTCCCTCACATCTCTCATGAGTGTAATAGTATCCTCTTAGTCATGTGGATATTAAAATAGTGCATAAGAAATGCCTCTGCAATAATATGATCTTCTAAGGAGTTTAGAGGGAATTTTTTTTACTCTGTATCAATTAAGTGCTATTTTTTTAAGTGATTGCAATTAACTGTGATCTTTCACTAGACTTTCTAGCTTTAAGCTGAATTTTCAAGTGTAACTATGTGATTGCAGGTTGGAGACCTAAGCGAACTATTATTTTTGCTAGCTGGGATGCAGAAGAATTTGGATTGTTGGGTTCCACAGAATGGGCTGAGGTAAACAAAGAACAGTGTAAAGAAAGCAAAACTTGAAAGTCTGTTGCAGGCAGCTGCAGTACCCAGTGGCATTTATTCCTAGACTGCAATCAATAGCTTCAAGGTAAAATTGGAGCACAACAGACTCCTTCAGGTGCTGTGAGGCCCTCATGTATTTATGCAAATTACCAACCTAACTTCTTACAACATAAGTGCACTAACTAGTCTAAGATTTAAAAATCTCCTTTGATTCAAAGCTAATGTCCCCCAGTGGTCTCTATGTGGAAACCTATCCCTTCAATTAACAGAATGGCATCATTTTGTGTAACCTATACTGGTTTATTTTCCAATTTTCTATTTGAGAAATTCCTTAGTTCCTGTAAACTAAAGTCCAGATCATGTACCTGTGATCCATAAGCCCACCAAGCCCTTTGTGTGGAAATTAATCCCCCTGGGCAAACAAAAGTGTAGGTAATCTAAGAATGGATAGTTCCAAATTCCTGTGAAAATTCCAGAATTGTGGAGTCTCAGGGCCAGGACAATCAATTAATTCTGTAGTGTGATCCCTGACTATATTCCTGCCTGCCAGAAGGATGTTGGGAGATTCAGAAGTAAGGTTCTGAATGTTTTTCTCTTCCTTTCCCTGTTGGGCACCTTCAGTTCTTAACCCTGTAAGTGGATTTTTTCAGCCCTGGTAAGAAATATAGGTCTTATGAGAGTTTTCATTGCTTTGTCTGTAAAATCCAAAGTAGGAATAGAGCAGGCAGAAAATTGTGTGATGAAACACATTTCTACTGAACTACATCCATTTATTAGTACTGAATGGTTTAACAGAAATATGTTGTCTTGTTCTTCTGTTAGAATTTTGTTTACAAGGTTATATTTAGATATGTGGATAGAGTTTTCAAAATCGATAAAATAAAATATTTTAATCTTTTTGGTTTATATTATTGGCATGTATTTCAGTAAACCACAAAATTACATAGCAAAATGACATGTGTCAGAGGAGGGAACAAAACTAGAAATATGCTCCCAAACACCAAAGGGATTCCATCATTCTGCTGTTAACAAAGCTGATATTTCTCTTTGGATTTCTTTCTCCCATAAACAGTTTGGCTTCCAGCTGCAATAGACTTTCTGCACCTTACTGTTGGCTTATGGGACATTAGATTAAGAAACCATAATTTAAATTATCTTTAAAATAATTTACTGAGAAATTCTAAAGACTTGGCATTAAAGTTTCATCCCACCTGATTATACTGTATATAAAATTATACTGTATATAAAACTTCATTTGTGATTTCCTTGTCTATGTATCTGTGCATGTATTTAGATGCATGTACAGATACATAGACCATGAGGACCACGAAATAATGATTCTTAAAAGATCCACTTCTCTTGACAAAGTCATGAATAAATTAGGGTTTTTTATGTTTGACTCGTTCACATATTGCTACTGCTGTTCTGTGATGTTTTTTGTTTAATAATTTAATATCTAGTAATCTATCATCCATTATTTCATGAAATGTCAGCTATACTAGGTTAGAAAGCCATGATCACAATTCATATTTGAACCTCAACATTTTTATATTATTGTTTTCTTGTTTTATGTTGTGGTGCTCATTCCTCCTCTTTGACACCTAAATTAGATTCAGTTTCTCTAGAGACATTCCTCACAGCTTACATCCATGTTCTCTGCAGCTGCCAGATCTGTCATCTACTAAATCTTGAGGAAAATTAACCCGTCATATTCAGTCTTCTGTGTAACAAAAAGACTCTGCAACTCTGACAACATCCTTCTGTTACATAGACAATCTCATAAATGCTCAGAAGTGAAGGAATTTCTTTATGTTGCAAATATGCGTTTGCATATATGCAAGGCCTCATGTATGCATATACAGGCTTGCTCCCTCCCTTCATATTCTTTTGCAGAATCTCCTCTGCTGTTTGTTTTAAAGATATTAATTTCATTATGAAGTTATCAATTACCTATCCAGTTTTTAGTTCACATGACTTACAAATGATTAGTTGGGTTATAAATTGAATGAATCAAGCAACAATTACGAACCTAATTAGAATATCTATCACAAAGCCAAGACTTAGTCAAATACCGCTTACTGATTAGAATATCGATTTCAAACATAATTACCAGTTCGCAAAAATCAAACAAGTGTGTATATATTTAGCATGAAAGTAATGCTTGGTTGACTCAAAACAGTCAGTCAAAGTCATTTTAATAAGAAAAGTCAGTGCTTTGACTCATCCCTTTCTGAAATGGAAGAGTAGAAATGACAGCAATGCTCGGTTTATCAGTGTTAAAATTGAGTTCAGTGCTGGGAGCTCACATGAATAACTAGGGATTAAAAGCATGGAGGAATTCTGGCTGACCTCCCGGTCACATGTTGCATGTTCAGAAAGCACTGCAAATGCAGAGTTAAAACACATGTATAACCTTAATTTACCCTGTTCCAATACTGCTCAGTAATTTTCCTGTTCCATCTTGCTCCTGTGTCAAGCAGCAGGCAGCACCTACATTTTGGGGATGTTTTCCACAGCAAATTAAGTCCCAGAAAGCAGGACTGAATTTCCTGTGCCCAGATCATTGACCCATCCTCAAACATTAATGTAATTAGTAAGGTACAGAGTGCTACTTTTCCTGACTGGGTTTTTAAAGGTAATGCTGTAAAAAACGGTGTGCTTAACATGCTCTTTGGCTAAATGTCAATAATTGAAAGTAATAGTTACACTTCCACACCCCCAGGAAAATGCCAGAGTCCTCCAGGAGCGGGCAGTTGCTTACATCAACACAGATTCTTCTATAGAAGGTGTGTCTTTTTTTTTTTAACTCACTTTACTTCACAGATGGCAATTTTAATAGTTCACTGTGTATTATTTATTGCATCCAGAGCTGGCAAATATAAGATAGATAATGTGATGTTCAGAATAAGTGTAGTAAATACAGAATTAAGTGGAGAGAGAGAACAATTTAAATTCTTATGTTGCTTTCTTCCTGCAAATAGTGCCATCCTTGAGCTGCAGCCCACGAGTCTGAAGTCCAGAATGTCTCCTCCAGAGGTGTTTAGCATTCCGTGCTAATGAGCTGAGTGGTCTGAACGTTAAACTTGCTCTTAACTGCATTAGCTTTAATTTACAGTTATAGTTTTAATATCTGCTGCTCCTTGCTCCACTTGCAGTTCCAGCTCTTTTCCCTGTGGAATTATAGTATGTTGGGACACTAATCTATTACGATCTTAAGACAATTTGTGTCAAGACCTTAAGCTTACATTTTGTGGGGGTGGGACCCATTTTGGTCCCTTTGTTTTGGTCACCTTTGTTCATTGCTATCAGCAAGGAGAATATGCAGGGAGTTACATATATATTACTGTAGGGCTCTCCTGGAAAAATAAGCGCTGAAGAGTGTTTCACAAAAAACCTGATCCACCATTATCCAATTTAATATGACCTTCAGATTACGAGAAGAATCTGTCATATAGGAATGCTGCTTAGAAACTGGATTTCGAATTTTGGGCCCAACACTATGGCCTAAATCACAAAATCCTTCTTAAATTGTACTGAGCTTTCTTGCAGAAGGATTTAGTTTACTGTTGTCTGTGCTGAAATAATAGTCAGTAGAGTCCTGTGAAGCTGTCCTACATCATAACCTCAGTTATTTAGGGCGTTGCTCTTCCCATGTTAAACCCAACTTATTTGGGCTTACTGTGTGTGAATAAAATGAATATCAACAGGCATATCCAAGAACTCTTTTCATTCCTGTCAGCTGAAAATTTTGTCTGTCACAAAAGGATTGGAAAGAAAGAAAAGCCAAACCTAGTTTCTAAATGCTCAGTTGGAGTTGGGTTGTAGGGAGGGTTAGAGCTGTTCCTTCAATTATGCAGCCTACATGCTGTGTAAAAAGTAGAGCAGAATTTCATGCCTAGATCTCACGGATGAAAGAATAGCTTTACAACTGCTTCATATTCTCAGCATGGATTGTAACACATATTTTTTAGTTGGTTTGCAGCCAACATGCTGCTGCCTTAACGATTTTCTTCTAAATCTTGATTATTCAAACATCTCTCTTGCTTTATGCATTAAAGAAAATGTGAAAGTAAAACCACTGGAAAAGAAATATGTAATAAGGAAAAAAACACCATGTTCACTGTACTGTTTTAAGTATCTTGGACATCTTTCACCTGACTGAGCATTAATATTCCCCGTAGAGCCATAGCATCCATGTACTTCACCAATTACTTTGTTTATCATCATATATTCCCCACTGCACTTATGCCACGTTTTGGACAGCAAATTATTTCTATTCATTGTCCTTTAGCAATGAAAAGCAGAGTAGCAGGTCATCCTTTGGAGCATTTTTGTGACTTTAATTTCCAGTTCTCAAATATAGACTCTCCTTGGAAACATTATTAACAATATCTAGCATTTTTTCTATCATCACGGGGTTTTCTGTAATTGTCAGCCTAGTCCTCTGGTGAGTACACACTGTGCAAAGGATGACCCAGAGGTCTAAAGCCGTATCAAAACCTAATAACTGTGTTCTCTGAGAGCTTATGTTTTATTACATCAAAGCCTTCTCACTCCTATTCCCCTCTTTGTTGTTGTCCACAGTTGAGCACAGAGGTGCTTCCACAGCTGCTGCCTGGTGGCTGTAATCTATAGAGAAGAGTGCTTCACACTCCTGCCTGCCTCAAAAGTGGCGATAGTTTCTTTTCAATGGGGCTCTTGCAATGCAGACAGCTTCAGTATGAGATACCTGGCTCAATGCAGCCTGCAGGCACTGTGGAAACCTCACGGGTGTAAAGTGTAGAAGCCACAGCGTGGTGGTAAAAGGGGAGGTTTAGGAGACAGTAGCTGAAAACATTACTCTGCATCTTTGTTGTCTCCTACTCGGGTGAGAGTTAGTTCTGAAATACAAAATGCCAAATATCTTACGAGTCTCTTACTCAGAAGATGATCTGTCTTTCAGATACAGCCTGAAAAAACATTGAAAAAGTCCTCCTTATGATAAGAGAAGAAGCAGCTGCATTGAAAGGCTTCTTAGAATGTCTTGCAGGGAACACATCTTTCCTCCTGCACTATTCCTATCTAAACAAACTTTATTTTTAACATCCTATGAAGAGTAGGATGTTACCATTGCCTTCCGTTTAACACAAGCTTTGGGGGGAGCTTCACAAGTTCTGAGTGACAAGGGCTTGTAGCTAATGAGGGGTAGTTGGGCATATTTTACAACTCTGGGAAGGCTTAATTACATTACTGTGTACGTACTATCACCAGTGCATCACTGCTGTGTAGCAGCAGTAGCTTATACGATATGACCAAGTAGTCTATTTCTGTGTATATTCTGAGGCAAGATCTAAATTCTTGCCTTGGAGTCAAGAAGTCTGTCTAAGACAAGACTGCAGGATTTAATCCATTAGGGAGATAATGTCACTGGTATGTGAAGGGAAAAATTTCATGTCTTTGTTCATTTTCAGGCAACTACACATTAAGAGTTGACTGCACCCCTCTTCTCTACAAACTGGTGTATAATCTGACAAAAGAGGTACAGAACCAGAGTTTCTGTTATTTGTGACTTTCTATGAATGTAAAACTTCAAATTTATTGGGTAAAATTGGATTATTGAATAATATTGGATTTATCTTCTCACTGTTCTGGAAGAATCTTGACCCAATCGAAATCAATAGCAAAACATCCCATCAGTAGTCCAGGCTCACTATTCTTAGAAAGGTTGAAATGAGTCACTGACATAAGCGGAATTTTATTTGTAATGTGTAGTAAAAATAATAATAATAAAAAAAGATAATAAAACACTTGAGCAAGATCAGTTCTCTAAAGTAATAATCATTCAAGGAAATGGATTGCATTTTAAATTTCCCTTTCATGTGCAAAAGAGAATCTATTCATTTTCATATCGGCTAGCTATCATTTGCCCTCTGTCAGTTCCCCCTGAATCTCCTTAATATCTCACTGAGCCCCTGAAATACTGTGATAAGTACTGAAGGATTGGGCAGCTTTTGTAACAGGCCAGATGTCTGGATTTGCATGACTACAAGCGGTCTAATCATGTGTCCTTTGCTTTCACCTCTCAGGATGACTTGTCATAAGGCTGAAAGATTGTGGTCCACTAAAGCATGACATTTCATTGGCCACATGAGGAGTTAACCAGATTAGGGACCCAGCATGAGCCATTGTTACTACCCTCAGGTCTGGATTAATGTCAATTAACAGAAGACATCTCTGCCTGACTTAAGCAATGTAGAGTGCCTTTAAAGGCAATGGGTAGAAGTAAGTGCCTTTAGGATGAGATTCCTTTGACCGAATGTGGTTGTCCATTCTTGTACCTACAGAACTCTGAAACTGTTTTTTCCCCCTGATGAGAAGCCCAAGTATAAAAATCAGCATTGCAACTGCCCTTGGTAGGATGACTTTAGGTTAGTCTCCCATCTCTGATGGGAGATGCATTCATTCTGAGTTATTTTCAAATGCAGTACATTGACTTTTAACACTGGAAACGCCATGGTTTGAGTCTGAGGTGGATTATCCATCCTATTCCCATGGTCTTCTTTTCTTTTCTACGTTTTATTTGCTTATCAACTCTTTCTATCTTACTCTTTCTTCCTTGTGGGGGAATAAGCTGTGCTTGTTCAAATGTTAGCTGTGACACTTCACACACTGAAGGGCATTCTCTTTCACCTATAACAATTTCTATGTCCCTAGTGCTTCAGGGCCCTGAGTAGAATAATTTACTTCCTGTCTGCAGCAAGCCACTTACCCAGGGATACATTCTTCTGCAAAAGATAAAGTAAAAAAAAATATCTAGGCTAAAGATAGTACCTCACTCTTGATCTTAAGTTAACTTTTTGACTATTGGAGTTGGAGTTGGAGTAGAAAACTTGCATTAAAATTCCATATGAAGTACTTGAGACTGGCTTTTCAAAAAATTTTCATATTCAGTGTTACTTAATCATTTGACAGTAGAAGCATAATATAAACAATAGAAAGCGTGACAACTGTTCCATAATTCCATGCTTTTTCCTCGTTAAAAAGCTCCTGGAAATACATTATATTCACCCATATTTGTCATAGCTTCATTTGTAAAGGAAATTATTTTATGGCAGAGAGTTGTCAGTGAAAAGTCTAACTATTCTCTGAGCTCCTTAAAGCCACCGTTGGTACAACTTAGATTTTTTTTTTTTTCTTTTTAGCTTGTTATAGACAAAATCCACAACTACTTTTTCTTTTCCGTTGTTCCACAGAGCAGGATTCTGCACCAACATTCCGATTTTCTGCTGTTCTCTGCTTTCTGTACATAGTCGAGGAGCACTTTTCCCAGTTAACTTTTATCATATTATATCTGTCCAAAGAATCTCATCTGAAATCCTTTTTTCCATTTTACCTTTTTTTTTAATTATCTTACTGAATAAATTTGAGACACTTGCCAGATTTCTCTAGAAGAGTGTTTTTATCTTTTTCTACTGCTAAACCTGGGACTGCCTCTCATCTTTTTGAAAAATAAAATTACAGTTCAATTTTTACAGTGGTTCAATGTTGTAGTTTTCATTTCCAAACCATCTGTAGTTTACCAGTGTTGGTGTGCCACCAGTGGTCTTCATAAATCACAGGCCGTGAAACCTCTCTCCAGAACAGTTAAACTCTTTTGAACTTTTCTATAAGACCATTCATGGAGACTGCTGGAATTTTCCCAAGGAAAAATGGTGTTTTGGTGGACCCTTGGAGAGAAGTCTTAGACTAGATATAAGGAAGAAATTCTTTACAATGAGGGTGGTGAAACACTGGCACAGGTTGCCCAGAGAGGTGGTGGAGGCCCCATCCCTGGAAACATTCAAGGCCAGGTTGGATGGAGCTCAGCAACCTGATCTAGTTGAAGATGTCCCTGCTCCCTGCAGGGGGGGTTGGACTAGATGACCTCTAGGGCTCCCTTCCAACTCAAAACATTCTATGATTCTATGAAGTCAGGGATAGCAAGGGGTGTTTGCTGAAGAACCGGTTCTAACTAGGACACCATTTTTGTTGGCATAGAAACATGTATATAGATGACTGTTAGACCCTGTAGAAATGTGGCACATCTTTTACTTGACTCACTGCTTCTAATATCACAGGATAAAACTCATTTAAGGGTTCAAACATCTTTATTCTCCAGGTCTCTAAAAATTCTAGTGAATTGGATTAGCAAAAGAGGGAGAGAAACTAAAGCAACAGCTAGAACAGGGGAGCTCTGTTTTGCAGAGGGATCTGCTTAACTTTGTTCCTTCTTTTTTTCTTCGCTTGCATTTAGGTAGCCTCCTATAAAGATAATCAAAGACTACAACCTGTGCCTTTGCTAATCAGTTGTGTCTTTTTCACTAATCTGAAGAAAACCCCCATTTTTTCCTAGGGCTAGAAGGACTAAGTCAGAGTGATTATATTCTTAGTTTTGCTTTTTCAGCTGCAGTGCATTTGGGTTTGGATGATATTGGGAAGCTAGAGGTACACATCGAAGCATCAGGCCATTAAGTCTTTGCATATCCTGGTTGTTAGTTACTTGGATAGGAATAGTGAACAGTCCTGTGTGCCTCAGGAGTCCTAGTTAATTCTCAGAAACAGCATAAATGGGATGAAAATGTTCCCTATGCTTTGCATGAGGATTTTGTGTGGGACTGTATTTCATTCAGGAAGCCCAGTATGTGAAAGAACATTAGTGCAGATGTGGGTGATTATGCATGTCCAAAAGAAAGTTATTTCTATCAATATTAAAGAGCCTGACATCCAACTATTCAACATCCCAAGATCTCTTTGTCTTTCTTGTTTTTCAGAGAGCCACTTAGAATATTAGAATCATAGATTTGTTTAGGTTGGAAAAGACCTTTAAGATCATGAAATCCAACCATTAACATAACCCTGCCATCCCACCACTAAACCATGTCCCTAAGCACCTCATCTGCCCAGCTTTTAAATACCTGCAGGGATGGGGACTCGACCACTTCCCTGGGCAGCCTGTTCCAGTGCTTAACAGTTCCAATGCTTAACACTTCTCACCAAAAAAATGTAGTGTACACATGAAGTGTCATCTTTCAAGGAGTTCTGCATTTAAGTGTGACCGTCAGCATACATATGGGACATTGAGCTGTTGAAAGTCTTTTTTGGCTTTGCTATACTGCTAGGCTTTAGACAATTGGTCACCACTGGCCAGCATCTGCAGTAGTTCAATTCCTCTGTTCTGATCATCTCTTCTTACTTTGTATTTATACTTAAAGAACTCTGCATCTTCCCTTGAGGTAGCAGTAAGCTTATGCTGATTCTAGATTTGGATCTAAGTGGCAAATAGAAGGCTTTACTAGGCTCTCAGTGTTGTACGAAGAAGCTGGCCAATGAGTTTTACATAAGCTGAGCTGTCAGAATAGCATCTCTGCCAGAGCATGGAGTACTTTTACTCCCATATGTCAAGAGTTCAGCTTGCTCTTATTAATGTGCCATTTCCAATTGAGCTCTAGAACTTGAACAAAGTGCCCTGAAAATGACAGCAGCCAAGCAGTTACTTCACAAAGTCGTTATTTTTCTGCCAGCTGCTGACTTAATCTCAGAGGTCAGAACTCCTTGGATTTTCAATTTGGAGTCTGTAGATCTTTCAGGGCAGAATTTAAGTCTTCACAATACTGTGGGACCATGTATTTAGTCATGAATATTTATGGTTTGTATTTTGGAAAAAAAAGTAAAAATCCCAATCCTCTGCACTTCATAACTAATCTTATACTTAAAGGACCATGTCTGTTAAAGATTGTTTAAGTGTAGATGGAGACCAGGGCCAGAGTCTTTATTTATTTTTACTTCTGCCATAGATTTTCTAAGAGCTTTGGTCAACTATTTTTATACTCTTTCATAGTTTTCCAGGCTTTACTAATACTTACCTTTTCCATCCTGGTTACATAGCTTTTAGATTTTATTTTTAAGGTAAGGGTGGGACCTACATTTTTACATACAGTGTCTTGCACAATGGTGCTCCAGTCTTGGTTGAGTCCCATTGGCACTGTTGTAATATAGTTAATGACTGGTTTTGACCCTTCTAGAACCATTCTTTTGTACCCTTCCTATAGCAAAAAGCAGTCAAATTTCAGGCTCAGCCTGCTGGGAGAATATTGCTGCTGTGTGTGACAAACCTCCACAGGGTTTAGGGCTGTTATAAGCTGGTGTGTGTGTACATACACAGCACTATAATAAGGTGGTAATCCCAGGACCCACTTTCCCCAGAGGAGGATGAGCTCCAGCTGGTGTCCTTGAGCTTTTAACTTGCTGTTCCCCGCTGTTTACGGTTGATTCCTGAGATGCTCTTCATGGTTGAGATCCATAAATGTATGTAACAAATGTAAATAGTGTATGTACACTTCCTCGCATGCAGTAATGCTGTTGATTAACAATGATGCAGATAGCTGTAAAGGTCTCCTTTGATACTGAATTGAGTCAGAGGTACTTCCAATGAGATTATAATCTTTTCCTCTCCAGATTTTAAGCCCTGATGAGGGTTATGAAAATAGGACTCTTTATGAGAGTTGGCTTGAGAAAGATCCTGCACCTGAAAATAACAGCTATCCCAGGTAAGCTGTTAATCTTTTTTTTTCTTTCCCAGTATTTTCATCATATCATAGCATGGCTACTCTCCAGGATTTTTCAAGATCTGCTATTGATGACAGCAATACAAAACCTTTTAGTAGAAGGTGGATCTCTGGCAATATCTTTTAAAGTAAAATAAAATAAAATTTGATTACTTTTTTTTTAATGATAATGACATCTATGCCTGCTGTTAAATGAAACCTCACACTTTTTACAGGCCTTTTATTAGTAGAAAAGCAATTTGGAAAGGAATCAAAAAAGACCAGGGCAGGGAAAGAATTTAAAATATGGTTTAGTCACCTTACTAAAGGAGAGAATATCAAAATTGTTAGGATAAGCAAATGCTCAGCTGGAAGAAACTGCCTAGAGCGGTATTTAAAAAGCTCTAGTGATATTTATTCTTTGTTTATACAGTAGATGTAAATTTAATACACTACAAATCTGTATCTGAAGGTATTAAAACTTCATATTTGAAGGTATTAGAACTCCAAAACACTGCTTGAGCCTGTGACTTGTAGAGCTAAATCTTACTCATAATGTGGCATTACTCACCTAAGGTAAATAGCACTGCCCCTTTGCGTGGTCTCACCAAAATGCTCTGCGTGTGTTACCCTGTCTTTCAGGCCTTCGTAAGATGAGTTTCTAGATTCATCAGACTCACTGAGATTTGTTCCTTTTAAAAAAGCTGCCAGATCTGACCTTTCTCAGTTGATACAAATAGTTCCTTGCAGAAATTTATACTGACAGAAGAACTTTAGCTGGGTTATTTTTCTTTTTTAGCTGAGAAACACCAATTTTTCACTAGGCTAGACATATAAGCCTAAAACTTAATATAAAACTTAATTGAATATTTGAAGATACTTTGAATATTACATCTGTCTGTATTATCATTATTATTTTCTTTTCCTCTGCCTTGCCATACCTACCCAGCAGATGGCAATATTTACTCGTAAGTAGCAACTTGTGTCTTCTGCAGTAGAAATTATTTACCAGTCTTTGATTGTACTGTGGAGTATGCTAAGTATATAAACACATCTGCCTTTACATATATTGCTGCCCAGTTCATATTAGTTTGGAAATAGATGATTAATGTTTTAGGATTGCAGAGACATGTCTGATACAATTTTATGGCTCTTGTGCATAATGCGTGCTTTTTTTTTTTTACACGTGGTCAGTGTCATAAGCAGGATTGCTACCTTTAAAAGATCTTCCTAGGAATATTGGATACTGAATTAGTGTGGTGGAATAAAATCTTTTAGAGTAATTAATCTTGCCACGTATGTGGTCTCTGGTCTTACTAGTGTCCCTGATATGCCTTCTGGAAGAGCTGACCTCCATTTCTTTGAAAAAGCTGCATTTTGCATAAATTACTGCCATACAAGAAAGTAAGTGCTCTCACTGTGATGTTGTCTTCTCTACATGTAGAATAAACAAACTGGGATCAGGCAGTGATTTTGAAGCTTACTTTCAGAGACTGGGAATTGCATCAGGCAGAGTCCGTTATACCAAGAATAGGGTAAGTCTTCCAGATTGCTTGAAGAATTTTGATAGTGCTGAGCAGTCGCCTTTTAAAAACATTTATTCATGATTAATAAAAAAGCTTCAGAGAATCTTTGACTTTTGTCTGTCAGTGCCATTTCTTAATCTACCAAGAAGCCTAAACGTCTGGAGAATAAAACATGTTACGGTGGTGCGTATATTCTATAGGCTGTCAAGTTCACAGAAAGGTAGCTATAGAATTGGAGGTGTGTATTTCATTCCAACATACTATTAGTAGGCCGCTTAATATACAGAACTTCCTTGACTGTGTTCAGAAATAACAATATAAAAAGGGGCCATCCTTGAGGACTTCTGCTATCCAAACCCCCAAACTGTTTTCACTTTTAGCAAAGGCAATCTCTGTACAGTAGAACCGAAGGGAGGTCTGTGCAGCTAGAGAGAAGGAAGCCTGCTCACTTAATCTTGTGCAACAGTCCATGGGTTCAGGGTGGTTTAATTTCCTAAAATGAACACACAAAAATGGAAGGATAGTAAATTGTGTTTTGTAGCAAATAGCTATTTTGATTTGGAAACTGTGCAAAGCATCATAGTCATTAAGTGATCAATACATCCCTTAACTGCAGTTAGAATGCAGGGCACTGACAAATTTGCTTGCTCTTTTTCAGAAAGCAGACAAATTCAGCAATTATCCTGTTTATCACACTGTGTATGAGACCTTTGAGTTAGTGGAAAAATTTTATGACCCCACCTTCAAGAAACAGCTAACGATTGCCCAGTTACGAGGCAAGCTGGTTTATGAACTTGCAGATTCCCAGGTCATTCCATTCGACTGTAGAGATTATGGAGAAGCCTTAAAAGGATACAGCAATGGAATTTATAAATTGGCCAAGAAACATGAAGAACAGCTGAAAACTTACAAAGTATCATTTGGTGAGTAATACCAACAACAGTATTTCTTAAGTGCATTAATTAGAATTATGCAAGGACACAGTGTATCTGTTATAGCTCTGAAATTAAATTCCTTACTTTCCTGTTTCAATTCTGCCACCATAATAAAGATCCTCCATTATTTTTTTCCTAAACATAACACAGGTTTAACACTTTATAGATGTGAGGGTTACAGATGAGAGGGTTATAATAATTTTCAAGCATATTATAAATTTTGGGCATTATTGCAGTGGTCATGAGCAATCATGGACCACAACCAAATGCAGAACAAAGAGACAGCACCAGCCTGCTTCTCACCTTCTTGCTTAAAAAAGAAGACAAGATAAACATTTATGGCAACTGCCTGGAACTTGGGAGACACAGGTGCCCATTCCTCCCCAGCCAAAGGCTTCATCTGACTTTGGGGAACTTGCTCACCATCTGTCTCTGTCCCCAGATACCTTTTTTAGGCAACTGAAGCGCTTCTCCTAACTCCTCTGCATAGATACATCCATTTGCCGAGTGCTTGAAAACATTGCAACGAAGCATATAAACCAGGTTGGGAGCCGCAGAGTGCTCTGGATCCCAGGCGAGGATAGCTCCCACATAATTTTCTTTCTCCCTCTCTATTCTCTCTTTCTTTCTTCTTGCCTCATTCACCCCTTGTGTTTCTGCATCAAGGAGGCTTTTCAGTTGGTCCTAATTAACTTGGTATCTGGTGGACCCATGGTTTAGAGACATAAAAAAAGTTTTTTGGAGATGCAATACTCTTTTGTGTTGTGTGAAACATTAGAAGTAACTCAAATCAAATCCTCATTTGGGGAAAATTAAAAGTGACATTTAAAACTTCATGTAATGGCTTAGGTGAAAAATTCTTGACTATTCCAAAAAGACACACTTTTTTGTAAAAAGGAGGAGACAGAGGAAGACTTGAGGGATAGATTATGTGGTCTGAGATTTTGCATAACACGAGGATTTATTCCAATATGTTCTTGTGTTTACTGCAGCATATCTCATAAGGAAACATCAATTCTGGCATTTCTTTTTGCAGTAGTACAACATCTACCAAAATTTCTGTTAAATCATTTATTTTCATTGTTTGAGTTTCTTTCTCATTTCAGATTAGAAGTTGCCCAAACGACCTTCTGATCAATGCATCTATTTTTGCTCCTACATTCTAGAAGAAATCTTTTTTTTCAGCTTTTTTCCCCCCAAATATCACTTAACCCTCTCATAACTTTATAGGTGTATCACTTCGACCATTTTTTTAATAAGGCATGTTTTTCAGTATTTTCATTACTTTCATGGATCTTTGGTGCCTGATCAGCTTGAAATTATTTCTTGAATAAAACTATAACTTTTAATTTTTATTTATTCTATTGCACCAGAATGCATTAAAATATATAGGGAGTTTTTACAATACCTTGAAAATTAAAATTAATTTCGCTCAGTGTTTTCATAGAATTGCTTATTGACAAGACTGAATGTCAGAAAATTGTTAATTAAGCCTGAATAAATCACATCATTGTCCTTCAAATAATAGATGAAGGTTTTTATTTGCCTTTGGATTCATATTTCAGCTGCTCCTCTGCAACAACGAAGGCTAGAAACCTTTCTTCATGAAATATGTACATGTATCATATGCTATCAGGTACAAAGGTTTGCAGGGGAAAAAATGTGATATTTTCTAAAATAACCAATACTGAAAGCACTGAATAGCTAGTGAGCACGAGCACAAATTCTCTTACATGTTGTCAGATGACCTTTCTTTTTTTTCTCTTAAGTCCCCTCCTACTGCTTCTGAAATATAATCTGTTGCCGTGATATAACCATGATGTCAGCAGGGCAGAACTCTGTCCTCTGGCAAACTATTGCCACGGTCATGGACAAGTGTAAATTCTCACCCTCACGAGGTGACATGGGTCTGTCTATACTGCAGTCCATAAACAGGTCACATGTATAAAATCTGTGCCTCTAATTATGTAAACCAAACAAAAATATTAATACAAGAACAAGCAGGTGTAGGCTGGTGATGGATAAATAAGTTCTCTAGCAATAGAAGAGCAAACGAGACTGCAGAACAGCTTTCAGTAGGAGTCCTGGGAACAGAAAGCTTATCACACTAAATAGTGCGATAAATTTATAAACAGTGAAGGGCCATAGTTGCCAACGGAGGACCAGATTTAGGAGATGACCTAATCTTATGCCCCATATTCCCATATGATCAAAGAGAGGATACTTTGTTTTATCTAAAATTTTCTGAAACTTGTGGGCAAAATGTACAAGTTGTAAATCTTCCTTCTTTGTGATGGAGTTGAATTTTGGTAAGGCTAGAAGTTCTTCTCATCATAACATCCACCTTTTACTTATTCTACCAAAAATTGTTGTATAAATTGATACTTTCCCCAGGTGTGTATTAAATAGACCCTTCCATGGAAAAATCATCACAGCTGATACTGTCATTAAAAGGAAAGCCTACTGCTTCTTTGCCTGAGTAATTCTGCATAGCTTAGATGTTCTGCCAGGGCCAGGGCAGGAAAAAGCAACTGACTTACCCCCCAGCCCCACTGCACATAGTCAGGCGTAACAGGCAAAATCCTGGGGTTGGAGCATACGTGCTGTGGGATGGCACACGGGGTGATGACAGAGACACCTTGTATGCTCTAACTCTAGCGCATGTGTGGAGCAAGCATGGGCCTTGGCTACTTCCATGTACCTTGTTTATCACTGTGTTGCACAGCAGTTCTGTCTTTTATGCCTCACCTAATAATGGAAGACTCCTTTTCACAAGGAGTCACATGGAGAGGACAAGGGGGAATGGACACAAGTTGCTCTTGGGGAGATTCTAATTGGACATGAGAGGGAAATTTTTTCCAATGAGAACAGTCACCCATTGGAATAATCTCCCCAGGGGAGTGGTTGACTCTGCACATTGGACACTTATAAGACTTAGCTGGACAGGGTGCTGGGTCATCTTGTCTAGACTGTGCTCTTACCTAGAAAGGTTGGACCAGATGATCCTTGAGGTCCCTTCCAACCTAGAATTCTATGATTCTGTGATTCTATAATACTATCCAATAGACATATCACACTCTTGCTTAGGGACATGGTTCAGTGGTGGGATGGCAGTCTTAGGTTAAGGGTTGGACTTGATCTTAAAGGTCTTTTCCAACCTAAATGATTCTACGATTCCATGAGGGAAATCCTGCTGTCTTTCCACAGCCTGCTGGAAAAGCTGGTATTTTTGATGTAAGTCAGTCAGGGTTTTCATACTTAAATGCTGCAGTGCATCCCTTTGTTAAAAAGCAAACTGCAGAGTTCTCCATTTGCAATGCCAGCCAGTCTTTTCCTTGCCAGGCAGAGGGAAGATTTATGCTTGTGAAAACTTTATGAAGCATTTGGCTTTATTGTTGGCCTTGTTGCACAACGTCTTTGTCTATTACTGCTAGTAGTGCAGATCTTTAAAGTCTGCACTAGGGAAACTAATGAATTATGGAACAACAACAAAATGAATGCAATTATATCAGAAAAAATATATACTTTTTCTCCCACTGGGCAACTGAAAGGGCTCAGCAGGTACTCTGAAGTTGTTCACAAAGTCCTTCCTCTTCTAGATCCTCTTTTTTCCGCTGTGGCGAACTTCTCAAAGGCTGCTGCTGAATTTCATGTGAGACTCGGACAAGTTAACAAGGAAGAGTAAGTCTGAAAAACAAAAATTATATATATATATCTGTCCTAGGTACCCAGGATGGCAGTTCTTCCTTAGTTCTTCCTTTCCAGTGACTACACAAGGAGTATCTCTGATTGCTGTAGAAGAGAGCCCTTGAACTCTGAGACAGGCAATATCTGCTAAGATGAATTCTACTTCCCATGATGAATAGTATCAGATGTAGAGCTTATTACAGTATGTTTGTCATTAAAATTATTGTAATATATGGAAAGGCACACAGCAGTGAAAGTTAAAGTTGGGCTGAGCTCTGTATTTAGACACCTACACTTAAGTGTTATAGTTGATGCCAGAATTTGTCCTTTCAGCACACTTCAAGGAGACAGGGTGATGATTCAGAGTATCTAAGACATAGAATCATAGAATGCTTTGAGTTGGAAGGAACCTTAAAGATCATCTAGTTCCAGCCCCCCTGCCACGGACAGGGACACCTTCAGCTAGACCAGGTTGCTCAAAGTCCCATCCAACCTGGCCTTGGGAGGGGGCATTCACAAGTTCTCTGGGCAAGCTCTTCCAGTGCCTCACCACTCTCATAGTGAAGAATTTCTTCCTTCTATCTAATCAAAGTCTACCCTCTTTCAGTTTAAAGCCATTACCTTTGTCCTATCACTACATGCCCTTGTAAAAAGTCCCTCTACAGCTTTCTTGTAGGCCCCCTTAAGGTACTGGAAGGCTGCAGTAAGGTTTCTCTGGAGCCTTCTCTTCCACAGGCTGAAAAAGCCCAACTCTCTCAGCCTGTCCTCATAAGAAAGGTGCTCCAGCCCTCGGATCATCTTCATGGCCCTCCTCTGGATTATCTTCAACAGGTCCATGTCCTTATGTTGTGGGCCCCAGAGCCAAATGTAGTACTCCAGGTCTCACAAGAGCAGAATAGAGGGAGAGAATCACCTCCTTCAACCTGCTGGCCACGTTTCCTTTGATGGCCAGGATATGGTTGGCTTTCTGGGCTGTAAACACACATTGCCGGGTCATGCTGAGCTTCTCATCAACCAGCACCCCCGAGTCCTTCTCAGGGTTGCTCTCAATCCATTCTCCACCCAGCCTGTATTTGTGCTTGGGATTGCCCCGACCCATGTGCAGGACCTTGCACTTGGCCTTGTTGAACTTCATGAGGTTCGCATGGGCCCAAGTCTCAAGCCTGTCAAGGCCCCTCTAGATGGCTTCCTTTCCCTCAAGCGTGTCCACCGCACCACACAGCTTGGTGTCATTGGCAGTTTTGCTGAGGGTGCACTCAATCCCACTGTCCGTGTTGGCCACAAAGGTGTTAAACATTGCCGGTCCCATATGTTCCACATGATGTTTGCACACACAAGGACTCCCATCCCTCTGAGTACAGTGGCTGGGGGCCAGATGCTCCCAGGCACCTGGTATGGTACCAGATAGTTTAGGCAACTGAATCCCATCCTTACTATGTTAGTAGATAGATTAGAGTGGGAGTTGGGAACACTTGGCTTATGGGTGGACACCAAAATCTAGGTATCATCGTCTTGATGTAAATCTCAGCCTTCCTCTCCCCTCTGTTAAGTGGGATTTTTCTAGTGACATTTAATAGTAAGTATCTGACACTCTCAGAGAATCTCCATTTTATTTTTTGCAGTGTGAAATCTTGTAGCTGAGTTTTCTAGCACAGAAATCTCAATGCATGAATATAACATGTATGAAATATCTCCATCTGCAAAACTTCACCTTTTTGCAAAGTGTAGACCATCTTTGTCATTTTTTTTTTTCTGTCCAAATAAGAGGAAAAGTGTTTAAATGAAACTGGGAAGTCATGTTTCCTCATTGTGTGAAACGTCTGTCTCTATTTTCTGCAGTCCAATTGCAGTGCGAATCATGAACGATCAGCTGATGTTTATAGAAAGAGCTTTCATTGATCCCCTTGGCTTACCAGGAAGGAAGTTTTACAGGTGAGGCAACAAGTTTCTTGACCAGCTGTCTAAGGCACTGTATGTTTGCAGGTGAACCCCACCCTAACTGAAAAAAGCTGACCCGCTGTATAGGCCTCGTATAGGAATTACAGCTCAACAGATTCGGGTTTAGATACAATCCAGTGAGTCGCAGACTTTGTTTATAACCCCCAAGGAGAACTCCTTGGCTGCACCAGTCTTCTGGTGCCTAATTCCTCTTCTTGGGTCTGGCACTCTGTTTTTATTAGCCATCATAGTCTGTGACTTTTATTTATTTGCAGGTGTGTAGTACTATTTCTGTTACCCCTTGCTCTTTTAAACCTGTACCTGTATCATTTAGAGTTGTCCATTTTTTTTTCTTTTTTTTACTTGTTCGCATTGATTAATGTTGTTCTAGTGTTTATTTTTATTTTGGGGGCTTCTTTCATATCCCCTTTCACAAACGTGCTTTAATACTTCATACAAAACCCATCAATTTAAAAGCATATCTGCAAGTATTCATTATTACAAAAACCACCAACAAACCATCTAACAAATAAAATTAGGAGATACTTTTTCCTAGTTCTGTTCCAATAGAATTGCTTCTTTCCTGAAGAATTCATGCTTTTCTCAAGAATTGTCCCACAGTTTTTTTCCCCCCTCTTTTCTCATTCCTTTCCCAGATCTGCTGACCATCATTCAACTGGTTAGGTATTTTCTCATTGTACACCCATAACTAGTTTTATTCCCTGTTCCAGACTGCCACGTTCAACAGGTTTGTTGAGCTCCCTTTTTAAAAAAAAATTTGACATGCTTTCATTCCTAATTAGATAAATGCATGATCTCTTCCCAAGGAAAAGGCTACCTGTCCTGAATCTGTGCCCTTTCCCAGAGATTTTGCCCTTGGAGCTGTTTCCTCCTATCCTTTTAAAGGCAGTTCCAGCCAGATTTCCTGGGTATTTAGTAAGTTCTGATCTTCACAGGATTCACAGTTGCTTTATGTAGCACATATACGGTTCCCTACAATGAACATGCACCCCCCGTTAATGGTTATTTTATTTAGTGTACCTACATTTTCTCCTTCTTTCCCCACAGACATGTCATCTTTGCTCCAAGCAGTCACAACAAGTATGCTGGGGAGTCCTTCCCAGGGATCTATGATGCCATGTTTGATATTGAAAGCAAAGCAGATCAGCACGGTGCCTGGGAAGAAGTAAAGAGGCAGATTTCCATTGCAGCCTTCACTGTGCAGGCCGCAGCAGGGACACTGAAAGAAGTAGCATAGGATGATGGCTTCGAAAGGCTCAAACAGCAAAGTCTGAAATGCGTTGTAGTCAGGCTACCGTGGTGACCCAGTCTCTCCTGCCTGCCTGCCTGTCTGAGATTCCAACCTTCTGAATGCATGCAAGTGTACTGGTAGGGTGAGCAGGAGCTCTGTGGATCAAAGGACTCCTGAGCTAGAAATTACTGCCTCTCTCATACTGACAAAACTGTAGCTTTAAGAACAGCCCTAGATGGAAGCAAATTTGGGGGTGGAGAGAAGGAAAAATCAGTTCCCAAACAGAGTTTTCTGAAAGATCTGCCAATTTTGAGCACCCGTTATTTTGGATGTAGAATTACAAAACCAGTTATTTGCCAAGCCACCTGTGAATCTTGTCCGTAGCAGTGATCAACAGCAGACGTTTCAAGAGAAAAATATATAAGACTCCTCAGCATGTGCATTTTTCTTGTTCTCATAATTACTTTTGTTATATAAGAGACCAAAGGCATCTCTGTATTTTAGAATCTATTCTGCAGGACTGGTGAGTGCTTATTACACTGATTTGCTTTCTTTTCCTGAAAAAATAAAATACTAGTCCTCCTGCCAACAGCCAAAGCAGTAACAGCCATTCCTGATAATCAGAGAAAACAGCCACTTACAGGCAGAAATCCAAAAGCATTTTCTCAGGGAGTGGGTGCCCATCCCTCTGAAAGACAGCGCACCTCCCTCTCCTTCATTTGCACTTTGGAGTATACAGACTGTGGGGGATAACCAAAAGCTGACCTCCCTGCTCCTTTGGCACTTTCACTAGTCCCAAGCCCATGGCAGCTTTTGCTCCTATTTTTTCCTGGGAGATCGCTTTCATGCAGATGTCTTCTTCCAGTTGGGGGAGATGGTGGACATTGTCACCACTGGCACGGGGCTTGACATTATTCTGTCTTCAGATAAGGCCCGAAGAAAGTTTCCCATCAGGAGCTACATTCACATTCAAAGAGAAACCAAAATGCATGAGAAGGGCCACTGTACAAAACTGTTTAATTTGTAAAAAAATTGGTTCTTGCTTCATTTGCCCTTTAAATGTGCTTCTCATCTACATGCTTTACAATTAATAAAATTGCTAGAATTTTATTAAATCACAGTCCAGTTTGTGGGAGCTGATAATAACCAATTTCTTCTCTTATGTAAAATATACTGCAGTTTTTCTCACAACCATGAATTGCACCAGGTTGTGGGAATAAAATCCTTTTTGTTTTATGAGGAATAGAACAGATGTGGTACTAAAAGACAGAATTCGAGAAACAGGAAAATTACTAGGCAAAAGAAGGAGCAGTTCTCATCTCAGATGCCTTGAATTCAGACCAGGGGACAGGCAATTCCTGCAGTTCAGTCCTTCGGGAAGTTGGTTTGGGGGGTACATGCCCCCAAGAAGAGAGGCTTTCATTGGCATCACTTCCAATATTCCTCTCTGAAAGACAAAGGACGGTACCTATGGATGTTGCGCTCATGATTTACTGTTAAATTGCTTTCCACAAATCAAGCCTTAGGCACATGAAGAGGAAATTACACTTCCACAGTCCATGCTTTACCTCTTCTGTTGGAAAAAGCAGTGCTTACCTGACCTCCTCAGCATGCACGTGAGGGACGTGAGTAGTCAGTGCTGAGGACGCCAGAACCCTGACTCCATTTTTGTCATTCTCTTTACTTCTACCTAACTGGGGCCGCTCACAGTTATTAGGTTTTTCATCTCCACATCTGTAGCTTGAGGTGTTGCTGGAGGACGTGATACCCCATGAACAGTGACTCGTACGTAACTGCACTGGTTTTTCTTCCCTTCTCCTGAATCGCCCACTCTTCCTGCTCCCTCCCGGCTTTACATTAACCGCAATGGGCAGTAACTGAAGGTGCCCCAGGGAAGGGTTAGGATATCTGGATGGTGGAAAAAGGCCGCTAGTGCCTCCTCCTTGCGAGCAGCAGCCAGCTTTGGATCTGTCAGTGGTCGTTGCTCTAGGGTCATCAGAGGATAAGGTAAACAAGAAATTGCCACATGAAAAGGAAATATCCGATGAAGTGTGCTTCCTTCTTCATTTACAGAAATCTCTTTAATAGTATGAACCAGTGGACAAATGTTTCACCAGTAAGCATATTTTTTCAGTGGCAGTTAGCCTTTGAAGTTCTGTGCCATCACCTTGCTGCTGCAAAAGAACATATTATCTCTTCTTGTTTCCGTGAGCAGTTTGAAACTGTAAGAACAAATGACAGCTCACATCAGGCTGAATGCACAGCTGGCATCGGTCACTTTGTTCCTCTTCTCAACTTAATTGATAACCTTGTATGAACGCGCGATTCATCATGACCCGCTGCATCCTCAGAAGTACACAGAATAGCTTCAGTCTATTTCCATTCCTCTCTGTAAAGTTCTACTGAGGGAGAGTCATGTCCAAACCCTTATGAATAAGGAAACCAAAGCCCTTACAAATGGCTTATGCTAACTGATTTCCATAAAATCCCGTATTCTTGGTATTGAAAGCATCAGATAGTCGGAGCTGAGACTGCCTTCCCCGCTTGGGTCAGCAGTATCTCCTTTTCTATAGATGGGCAACCAAGTGACTGCTGCTGTCACCCAGCCCAAAGGCTGCTCTACTTGTGTAGCTCTGCCTGCCCATAACTTCAAAGTGCGTGGGGATTTTTCAGGCTCTCCTCAGAAATGGATAACACTGGAGACCCTGCTCTGCCCTTCCCTAATTACATCCGCACAGCTCGTTCACTCAACCTGGCTGCAGCAATCTGTCAATCGTATAGCTGGGTGAAACAGAGCCCCCACCCTAGACTGGGGCTGCGAAACAATTCGGCAAGATTAAACCTGGATGAACCAAAGGCCATTTGGATATCTGCTTTGCCAACTGCCTCTTTAGAAAATCAGTTTCTAAGGGACGGTAGCAGGAAGTTTTGTTTCAGACTCCCTTATGTCTGACATAGCTTTGGTTTGCCTTTGGGAAGGAAGCTGTAACACTTGGTCAAGTTAGGGATGTCTGGAAAGTGGGGATACCCAACATGCTCCATTCTCCACTAAGTGACAAACACAACCCAGTTACAACACTCATTCATTTGCACCAAAAATGGCAGTGATTTAAAATAGCTATTCTGCTGTGTTTTTCAATCGATCAATAAACAGAAATAGAACCACCTAAAAAATACTCTGCAGATCTTAAGCTTAGTAAAAACTCAAAGTAATTCAAAACCTTTGGAGATTAAGTGTTCGGGATTAAGTGATGCCAGTGCTTCTCTCAACACCCTGTAATTTAGCAACCCTTCCCAAAGTTGACTCATGCATCAAGGAACGGCCTTTCTGGAGTAATGAAATTAAAATTTCCCTCTCCCAGCATCCTGACGACTGAAGCACGAGTACAGCAACTGAAGAAGTTTCATGAATCTTCTCAGTGACAATTGCAGTTCAGGTGTTAGAACAGGGTTTTGGGACTTGTCCGGTTTTTTGGTTCAGCCAAAGCAATTTGCCAAGTCCAAGGCAAACTTTTAAATTGCTTCATCTGATCTAAAATTGCATTCTTTTCAACAGCCATAAAAATAAAACACACTGTGCAACTCAGTGTATCTGTTAAGGAAGAGACATTACAAGAGGAAGGTCCTAAAGCAGTCAGGCAGCCCATTAAGCAGATGACCACGATCAGTACCGGTGCTGTATGCTGACTTTTCCACGGACCCCATTTCTATTATTCTGTCCTTCTATAGATAATCTATAAAATATTCTCTGCATGTTCATAAGGGCCAAGAGAATGGGAGCTCTATGGACTGCAAAGTATTTTGCAACAGAAGAGGATCTGAACGCCTGGCCAGCAGCCCTCAGTGACCTGAAACCCATTCCTGGTGTGGAGCAACTATTGCTGTTCCTGTCCATGCTGCCTAATAAAATATCAGGCAGCAAGTTTAAAACAGAGGGATTACTCACACTGCATGTGATTATATGGTGAAGCTCATTGCTACAGGAGCTTGTGAAAGGTGAAATGGGTTAAAAAAGGATCAGATGCATGCAAGGAGTGCTCACACCCAAATGATCCAGATGCAACCTTTCATTCAGAAGGTCCTGAAGCACTTGGGAATTAAAGCATGTGTATGCACAAAGGGATTAAAACATACCTGCTTCATTACTTGCTTTAATCATTTGTCATGGAGACGTTATTGGGAAAGGCAGTACTTTGAACTCTCTCGTTGTGGTGCTTTCCACTGAATAGGCAGCCCCTTAAGTGCTGCCGGTGGTCCTCTATTCGTGTGCACTTGATTGAAACCCATGAAAATGAATAAATGGATCTTTAAAACGTTGCTTGTTCTCCTCTTTAAACCAAGATAATGATTAAAACTGTCAATCACAGGTCTTTTTAAAAAAAAAAAACAACAAAATTGCTGGAGAGCAGAAATAGTCTCTCCTGCGGTGGTGTCATTCAGAGGGTAAGATGTGATGTGCAGCATCTGCAGAGAAGAGCTACTGCAGCGACCCCACATTATTCCTAAGGAAAACAGTGGCAGGATGAGATTCTGGAAGATTCTGACTTGGTCTGAGAGTCACTGAGGACTTTCTGCCCCTCCTGGGCAACGCTGCAGAAACCCCTGAGGAAGGAGAGCTGGAATCTCCAGGTGATACAGCATCAAAAGCAGCTGGGGACCTGCTCTCTGCAGCTGGTAGGAATAGGATATACTCAGCATGGCCCGTTTTTCTCTCTCTCACACTCCAAATTCCTCTGTTTTTATTCCTGGGATTTTTAACATACAGTTAGGAGTGCCATTAAGAGAGCTGAGTGATAGTGAATGCCATGGACTTCCCTACAGCAAAGAGGAGAAGAAAACACTCATTAAATGAAATACAGAAATCTTGATTCTGCTGCGCTGTTCTCTTCCGAGCCGAACCGAAGCGCTGTGTTCCTCACCGAGCAACACCTGCTGCACAGAAATTATCCCTAGAGAAACCAGTAGGAGCTGAGTTTAGAGAGCAGCCTTTTCCTAACGCAGAAGAC